CCACAGAAACCACAACAATATCAATCACACAACAATTGTTATAAAAACACACAATATGCGATCGCTCAACGAAACACGTTAAAATGCATTGCCGACGCCTATGAGTCTGCCGGTCGAGGCGCGTGTTTGATTTCATTGGTTCTACCGGCGGAGAACAATCAGCCATTATTTCCATCTCTGTCTGTGCTGTTGACCACCGCAAAGCCACAGGAACGACATATGTCGTACGCTATACGGCTGTACTGGAAGGAAGCCGGGATCGAGCTCTGATCATGTGTTGATTACGCGTATGAGTCATTACAGTTTTAAATAGTTGTAGTATAAGCTGCTTTTCCCCGTCGACGCACCAAAGAGGTTCTTGACCCTGTTTTTACCTGCTTTAAGCGATAAATCCATAAATACTTTGACGCTCTTGAAGGTATCAATAACAGAATGTGTGACAGTATATCGTATACGTATAACAGTAATGAACGAAATTTGATAATGTACTCGTAAAATGCAAACAATTAAAAAAAACGGACTTACCACTAACTGCCTCAGCGCTTTACCTGGTGTGTAAAAATTTATTGAACGTATTAAAAAATCCACTTATAAATAGGGAACATAGTTTTGATACATACATTGTTTTTCTTTTTAAAACCTACACTGCACTTTTTTGTATTTAAAGGTGTTCAAAATGTCGTCCTCCACTTTCCACACAAGCTTCATTACGACGAACCCAGTTTCTTCTTACTCTAGGTCCTCGAAGTTGTCCATTTATTATTTCAGCCACATTAAATTTTTTTTCGCGAAGTTGTGCTTCAGTTGTTATTGGATCAGCCCCATAAACCATCCCTCTAAGTTCTCCCCAATACCAGAAATCCATCGGATTGAGGTCACCAGATCTTGCTGTCCATCTTCGAGGATGAGGAGCATTTCGACCGATCCAGCGATTTGGATAATGATAATAATAATCATCTTTATTCGTTGGTACCAAGGTACAGAGATATTGAAGTGATGCTTTCATTCCTATAGAGGAATGGCTGGTCTTCCACTTAACCTAACAACACCTACTTAACTAACTTAAAAGCTTAAAAGTAAAGATATACGAGTAGTATATGTTACCGTAGTAATATTCAAACAATAGCCTTTTTGAAAGCATGAATAACTAATATACAGGGTGGTCCATAAGTCCTTTGAAATTTCAAATTTGAATAAAATTTAACGGGTGAGCGTGAGCGGCGCGGGCGAGGTGGGGGCAGTATCTTCAGTGTCTGGAAATTCAGTCGCCATGGAGTGTTTCACTGGAGCGGATCGTGCTTTTTGTGTGCGCGCGTTTTATCAAAATAATGATTCGGCAACCATTGCGTGGCGTAAATGTCGAGAATACCACAATTTACACAATTTTACAAAGTGTCCAACAGCTCAAACGATTAAGAACTGGGTTGCTAAGTTCGAAGAGACTGGTTCGACGTTAGATAGAACAGCGGTGGGGTCGACCAAGGACAACTCGTATTGAAGAAAACATCAACATTGTGGCACAGTCTGTTCGACAAAATCCTACCCAGTCTACTCGTAAGCGTTCCAGTGCACTAAACGTACCCACAACATCTTTACAGCTGATTTTAAGGAAAGATTTACGTCTGCACGCTTACAAAATTCAGTTAGTGCATGAATTAAAAGATAATGAGGCTATTCAGAGACTAAACTTTGCGAAGGAAATGATGAATCGATTTTCTTCGCTCAATAATGTGTTGTTCTCGGACGAGGCTCACTTCCATTTAAACGGGCATGTAAATAAACAAAATTGCCGTTATTGGAGCCCCGAAAATCCAAGGCGTAAGCATCAGAAGCCCTTACACAGCCCTAAAGTTACAGTTTGGGCTGCTATGTCAGCGCATGGCATCGTAGGCCCTTATTTTTTTGAGGACGACAGAGGTCGCGCATTAACTGTTACTTCGGAGCGGTATGTAGCAATGATAGAAGAGTTTTTGACACCAGCGTTGCAGAATTTTCCAGGCTGTAATACGCAGACCTGGTTTCAACAGGACGGAGCAACTGCCCACACCTCCAACACTTCTATGCCCGTCGTCTGTCAACTTTATCCCAGCAAAGTAATTTCTCGAAGAGGAGACATTTCCTGGCCACCACCTAGTCCAGATTTGACCCCAATGGACTTCTTTTTATGGGGCTACCTCAAGAGTAAAGTGTACGACACCACTCCGCGATCAGTTGATGTCCTGAAAGAAAATATCCGAAGAGAAATGGCAAGCATTACAGTGTTGTCTTGCCGCGCAGTCATCGACAATTTTAGACGTCGTTTATATGAGTGTTGTGATCGTAATGGATTGCATTTAGACGATGTGATTTTTAAAACATAATTCCCATTCAATAAAGATGATAACAAAATATAATAATTCTTCATAATGTAACTAGTTTGGTTTTATTCCTTTTTTTCCAGCTCAAAGGACTTATGGGCCACCCTGTATATATAGAAGAAATGAAAAAATTCACAGAATACAAACAAAGACATAAAGAAATTAGGGAAAAGCGTACAATGTAAGGTAGGTATAATCATATACAGGATGTTTCAGTTTATTGTTGCATAACTTAAAGATTCGATAAAACTTTTAAAATTAATGCATAATGTCTATATAAACATGGGTCGAAAAATGCGTGGCTTCCGAAATACAGGGTGTTTAAATTTACTTTATAAAATAGTTTTTTTTTAAATATTTCGAACAATATTTGAGGTATAATAGTGAAAATTGGTATACAAGGGTTTTTTGGTACGACAAAACGAACCATGGGTTTTACTGTAGCCGCTAGAGGGCGCTCTCTACTGTACCTGTAGTGTATTAAAATGACCGAAAATTTTTTCTTAGTGCAATTTTTTGCTTTTTGAATAAAAAAACTGATTCTTCGCACTTTTCAACATAAAAAAGCTCTCCTGTGAGTTTAAGTTATAGTTAACTGTTTTTGAGATATTTCGATTTTTAAGGTTCGATGCATTTTTAATTATTTAAGGGAAAATAATATTTTTTTTATATTTTTGATTTGGGCATTACAAGTAATTAAGATGATCGTTTAGACTGTGTTTTTAAACACAGAAATAGTTCCTAACTCCAAATAAACACAAAAAAACAATATTAATTTGTTTAATTTTCCAATATTATTTTTAACAAATTAAATTAATTTTTTACAACTAAAAAGCTATTGGATAGTTAGGACAAACATACAAAATCTAAAGTAGTTGCTCGAAATGTAAACCCAATTGTTCAATACACAATTCACATCCACGAATGATCGAACGTGGTATAGCATTATTCAAATAAGGCCTTATTTCATCACATGCATTCCTGATTCTGTCTATTAGCGTATCTCTTGTGGTTACGGGAGTCTGGTACATTTTTCTTTTAGAAATCCCCACACAAAGAAATCTAATGGATTTAGGTGAGGGGATCGTGGAGGCCAGGCGACTGGTCCTCCACGGCCGATCCATCTTTCTGGATAATTTTCATATTTGCATGTTCAGCCTTTAAAAATTCCAAGAAGGTCGCAGCATTTAACCTTGCAGGCAAAAGGTAGGGTCCAAATAGTCGATTACGGTAGATACCAATCCACACGTTCACGCTAAATTCATGCTGAAAATTTCTTTCCCGAACTGCATGCGGATTTTCATGCGACCAAATATGTTGATTATGAAAATTTACCACTCCACGTCTAGTGAAGCATGACTCATCGGTCCATAAAACGTTACTTAAAAACTCCCTATTATATCAGTTCTATCAAGAATCCACTGACAAAATGTGATTCTTCGTTCTCCGTCCCCTGGCTGTAGCGCACACTGATAGGAAAGTTAGACCTGTAAGAGTCGCTGCTCGTCGTGCTAATGAACTGATGTGCATTATTCAAAATTTAGAGCACCATGATGTTGAATGGCTCGATGAGAACGACGTAGACATTCCAAAATCCGATGAAAGTGACAAACTCACAACACTGAGCAGCAATCGAAGCGATCCAATGTCATCGAAAACTTAGAATCATGGATTCGGGTTTCATGGACTGAAGACTTAATTTGAATTTAATATATGCACCAAACATTTAAAATGAGTTTGTTATGTTAGTAAGATATAATATTTTTGTCCTTTACTCTATGTTGAATACCGTATCAGTAAAATATAATCTCTATCCTAAATCTATTTTCTTATTTTTCAAATTATAATTATAACGTTATAATTATAATATTAAAAAAACAATACATTAATTGACAAATGTTTACGTAAGCATGGGGGGAGGGGGTAAGAGCTTTGCTTACTTTTGCTGACAAGGGGGATGGGGCGGTAAATAATTGTAATAAATCTGCTTACGTAATACTTGAATGGCCCCTTACGTGTGATGATATTTCGATTATACTTCAATCTTTTATGCATTTGTTGGAAATTTTACGCTCTTTTCAAAAATCGAAATATCCAATATGGCGGCCATAAGAAAAATGAAAGTTGAGACAGGTTGCGGGAAGACAAAAGACGATTGTTCTTATTTGCCTTAAAAAATAGCCGAATAATGACACACTTTGACTGATGTTAAATTAACCGTATCGGATTTACTGGCAAAAAACAAAAATCGACATTTTCGGTTTTTCGCCGACATTTCCAAAACCAATTGAGCGATCGGAAATCTGAAGGCGGTTATCGAATGCAATCTAAAGCATCCTCTATTTAACCTATGCTGTAGGTATAACAGAAGCCGAGATCCCTCTATAGAGAAGCGAATTTGGGACACACTGTATACTTAATTTGGACTACTCCCAAATTTATTCATTTCATGCTTGCCAGATAAAGTGTTAAGGACCTCCAAGGTATCAGGCCCACCGTAAGCCTCTGTGTCTGTACAAAATTAGTCATCTTTTACTGAAAAGCTCTTCCAAAATCACCTTAAAATATCATAAGACTGGCAACCTCGCGGTTATTCCACCGCGTGCCGTCCCAAACAAATCGTTATTCCACTCCTGTGATTATCAGTAAAGTGCGGTTCGCAAGTTCGAAAGCGTGCGCGGCGGTGTGAGACTCTTGCCGGTTTTGTTCCAAAACTGTACGGTGGCAACAACGGTGTACTTAATTTCACATACTTAAACTTAAGCAGTTATGGACAAAGGAACAAAGACCACTACCAAGCCTAACCCGGTAGAAAATGCCAATGTACTTTCTAGGTTACTTTTTCTGTAAGTATGGAGCTTAATTTAGCCAAGATAATTAAAAACTAAGAAATAGGAATTTATTAACTAAAAGGTTGGAGTTTTTGGAAGCAGTTTCGTTTATTTTCTAGGCATATCTTCAAGCCTTAACTAATTGACATGTTTGGAATCTGATGACTTGAGTTTTTAAGGTTCTTACAAATGAGAAGTGTTTCTTACTTACTGGGCTAAAACTCACGAGGAAGTACTGTAATTGCGAAAAATTTCGAAATTGAGATATTCTGTTTTTTGAATGTTATATGACATGTATGTCACGAAAAACCATGTCCGCTAATTTCATGACCGCGGAACTAGAATAAAAACACGAAAAAAATAAAAATCGCTTAAAAACGGAAACATTTTTGTACGGTTTGAAACTTAATTAAATTCAATAAAAATAATTCGTCTCTGTGAAAAGCTTGGAGTTTTAAACGTAAGAAATTTTAAACTAAATCTGAAGACAAATAGCAAAACATCCCGGACTTCTGGGTGGACGCTGAAGTTTTAAATTTCCCATCGTTACAACTTATTTTTTGGGCAGCATATACAGTACCGAGCAAAAGTAGAGAAACAAACCACATTACGAGTACAAATAAAAATCCAGAAAGATTTACTGTAACCCAAAATTGTACACTAAATTTTTTTATGTATGACTACCTCATTATAATGAAAATCTTCGTATACATTCTTTTTTTTTCAATATAATATGGTCGTTTTTTTTCAACGAGCAAAAGTAGAGAAACATTTTGTAAATATTTAGTTTATATTTAGTCGTTGACTGGAATAGGATTTATTTTTGAGTGTATTTGGTAAAGTATAGATCAAAAACATGGCCAGAGGACTTGCATTGAATTTGCAAATAAAAGAATTGATTATTTTATAATATCGATCAGACATTAAACAAGTAACCATAGCCAAACAGCTGTTTTTCAGCCGATCGGTAATTTGCAAAACTATTAAGCCGTTTCGCCTCAGAAAATCGTTAGTAAGCGCTCCTAAGACTGGTAGACCGCGAAAAACCACACCTAGGATTGATAGGAAAATTAAAACACTTGCTCTTAAAAATCCATTTACTACTGCTGGAGACCATCTAAAAAACCCTTTATTTCCAAGAAAAATTGTACCGCCCGTGTTCAGTTCGCTTACGATCATTTGAACTGGTCAGAAACAAGGTGGAATTCTGTATTATTTTGTGATGAAAGTAAATTAAATTTGTTTTCATCGGATGGCAATTTATGGATAAGACGTTCTAAAAAGAAGCGATTTGATCCTAAGTTCACTTTGGGCACAATCAAACACGGAGGCGGGAAGGTTGAAGTATGGGGTTGCTTCTGTGGTCTTCAAATGGGACCCATCGTCAAAATTGAAGGAATTATGGACCGGTACAAATACTTGGAAATGTTAACTGATAGTATGCTACCTTACGCAGAAGAAAACATGTCTCTACGCTGGCGGTTCAAGCATGACAACGACCTCAAGCACACAGCGAAAATAATAAAAACATTTTTGCAGATCACAATATTAATGTCGGACCTTAACCCCATAGAGAACCTATAGGATTTAGTTGATAAAAAAATTCGGACTGAACATCCAGAAAAGTTCAAAAATAGTGCCGAACTATTTGAAACAATCGAAGTCGCCTAGAATTCTATTCCAAAAGAAACAATAGATAGCCTATACTCTGGGCGCTGAAGAAAGACATTAAACGTAAACAGTGATCAGCACGTGAACAGATCCCTCGAAAGCATCCACGGATATACTCCAGTCACTTTAGGTCTAAACATCCTCGGGAGTGTATTTCTAGTGAATCCACAGACCCTTTTTCGTGTCATCTTGAGACTAGAAAAAGGAATGACTGTTAAAATAAGTTACCTTGATCTTTCATGAGCTCCCAGTACAAAACATCATCGATACATTTTTGATGTAGGAACAACAAATTGGTTTAGAAAACATCCACTTTGAACCTAAATTGACTGGAGTAACATCGATCTACAGACAAATTCAAGGTCACTAGCTGTCGTCGGCGCTCTACGAATCTGCACAGGTTTGGACTTGTAAACGTGATTGTAGATGACACGACAGGCATCTAACAGTTAATTCACGCACAGGATTGCATTGCATACGCATTACGCATTCAGTAGCGTATACTCGTTTTTCGCGAGTGGAACGTTTTGTTTATATATTGCCTAAGATACGATGTCTGACACAGATACAGCCGACGAAGTGGTTGACATCAGCGCAACCCCACCCAAAAAAAAGGCTAAGAAGCTACATTTAAGTGCAAATGAAAAACAAATAATATTAAATATATACAAAAACCAAATTCAAGAAAAACCCGATTTGGTCGTGGACGAAGTTATATGTAAGGTAGCACATATTTCTGGAGTATGTCGGTCCAGTGTTTATAGGATCATTAAGGAATATAGGAGCACTCACTCACTTTCTGAGCCAAAACCGTATCCTGCAAGAAAAAGGATAACGGACGGAGTAGATGACTTTGACAGAACTGCCATCAGGAGGAAAATGCATAATTTTTTCTTCCGAAATGAGATACCTACAATAGATAAGATATTAAGATTAGTTAATGCTGATGAGGATCTTCCATCATTTAAAAGAACCACATTCCGAAAACTTTTGAAGGAACTTAATTTTCGATTCTTGAAACGGGGAAGAAACAGTATGTTAATAGAGAAAGAAGAAATTGTTGTGTGGAGAAGGGAATACCTTAGGAAGATTCGGGAGTTTCGCGATGAAAAAAGAAAAATTTACTATTTGGACGAAACGTGGGTGAATGCTGGACATACTCAAGCGAAAGTTTGGGTCGACAAATCAGTAACATCATCAAGGCAGGCTTTTCTAGACGGTCTTTCGGCTGGATTGAAAAATCCTGCAGGTAAGCTCCTTCATCTATCCGGCAATTTAATTTTGATAAATTCGGGCAAATAATATGCTGTGATAGCAGATAATGTGTGATATTCTCCAAAAATGGTGCATTCGCAGTGTAGTCATTAGGAAAAAAACTTCGACCCTCTTTTAAGCGTTATTTTGAAATTTATTATCATTTTTGGGTGCAGTCAATTTGCTTTGAATGGGTTTTGAGAAGTTGCAAACTTCAATTTTCTACGTTTTTCAGTTTTTGATCAGCATTCCGTGACTCTTAAATTCAGCTAAATGAACTCAATTGCCTCATTCCTTCAAATTTAATCAATCCATAGTGTAAGGAATAATTTATTTCCAGGAAAAGGCAAACGGCTGATCATTTGTCACGTAGGTAGTGAAGACGGCTTTGTTCCCGAAGCACTGTGGGCCTTTGAATCAAATAAGACAGGGGACTATCATGAGGAGATGGACGGCAATTCCTTTGAAAATTGGTTCTCCAAAATGTTACTAAAGCTGGAGAATAACGCTGTTATTGTACTGGATAATGCCCCGTACCATTCTAGAAAAATAGAAAAACAGATCGATTTTGATGAAACAATGGTCAAGGGTGAATTGATAAGTATAGTCAATAGACATAAATACAAATACGATTTTAAAATGATCGACGAAATGGCCAAAAAACAAAATAAAACTGTCTTGAGACACCCTACCATTGTGAGCTGAACCCTATTGAGCTGATTTGGGCCAACATAAAGCAATACATGGCGTCGAATAATAATACTTATAAATTTTCTGATGTTAAAAATCTCTTTCACATCGCAGTCAATAGAGTTACGGCAGAGGAATGGAAAAAATTGTATCCGCCACGTTCGGGAGAAGGTTGAGGTCAAAATGTGGGATTTGGACAATGTCATCGATACCCAAATTGAACCTCTAATAATTCATTTAAGCGATTCTGAAGATTCAAGTTCCTCTTCTGAATGAGTGCGCGCAGCTTACTTACTAATAACTAAAAAGTGTAGTTAACTCATTTGTGAATCTCTAACTGAAATTTACTGTAAAAGATAATAATTATCTTGTATGAAATTTTTGATGACTACCCATAATATCTTGATGCGGTCCTGTAATGTCTCCTGCGCCTAAACACTCACTCACGAGCAATATGCGTGTATTTGTTTGGGTTTAGTTTCTTTCTTCAGCGCCTAGAGAGTAATTGTTTCTATGAGAAAAAGATGTCTAGCAGTTTTAACAAATAAAGGTTATGCAACCAAGTATTAGCTTCTTTGTATACTATGTTTCTCTACTTTTGCTCGCTGTATTTTCTAATAATAATTGTTAGCATAGTTTCATTAAAGCAGAAATTTTATTTACATGTTGGCTTTGAATTACATGTTACATTAAGTTATAATAAAACATAAGTGTTTAGTTTACTTTGATAGTTTAATAAAATCTTTAAAGAAATAAAATGTTTCTCCACTTTTGCTCGGTACTGTACGTCATACCGTGTATATTCATAAATTAGCTATTTACCCATATCGGCATTATCATTATCAAACGAGTTTTTTAGCAATTGTGAAACGGGTCGTAACTTGAAGCCGCCTTATCAATTTAGAAAGCACGTTCAACGGAAATTAAAGCGACCAGTTTTGCATGGATCAGCTCCATGCAATATCCATCAGATAAGCTGCAGCCGGTTCACGACCTTTCGAATAAAGAATACTCTTGTCGGCAGTATTCCATTTCCTTAGCTATAACAATAAAATTGATTGTCTGCATACGTTATCAATGAGAAAGTAATTGAAATAAGAGATTAATATTATCGTAAAATATGGAATAGAGATAATTTTGGTGAAAAAATAGACGGTTACAGTAAGGTCATTATAATTGAATATAATTTCATCCAAACAGGAAGTTGCTCAGATAGTTTCTTAAAACACATTTTTTTCTGATTACAGGGAGTTTGTTTATAAATACGAGCCCCTTCCCACTTCAGTCGACCCACTTCAAAATTTGCACCAAAATATGCCTTTATAAACTAAACATGACGAAACTATTTACTTCTAAAACAATTTATTTTCTCAAAAACATTTTAGATACACTCTAGTCGT